CCCACCCAACTTACTGCTCGTACGGAATCCACCGTTACGGAAGAGCAAGCTGACTGCCCGGGCAGGATTTTCTAAGCAATCATCTAGAATCCACCAGAATGACTACTAGAATCACTTAATTTTAAGGGGGTTTTGCAGATTTGCTTAATTCAAAGTGTTAAGAGAAGCAAAAGCGACTACACTTCGAACCCTAAAATATAAAACGTTTTCGAGAAACGCTGTGTCATTCATAGTATAAGAGCAAGTATCGGGATGCTCAGACAGAGGATACACATGGTAGGAATGATAGCCCTAATGCACGTGATGGCTGCTCTATATGGCGACCACCTGCCAGTTCGACCGTCGCTTCCGATGAGGTCCAACGTGTACTCCACAGAGCGGTAGTACAGGAGCGGTGACTTGCACGCGGACTAGTTTTAAGTGATAGTAGACTTGCGCTGCATTTACTGCCTTCCCTCTTTGCTCATCCGCCCGAGCCCGGTGTCAAAAAGACAGGAGGCGGAATTGGGCACAGGTGGCCGGTGCGGCGTGAGCCTGCGCCTAGGTGTCAACCACGCCCCATGTTCAGCACTTGTTATGAGAGCGCAACTCCAATGACGCCTGCCGTGACCTAAGCTGGTCTCGGTGTTGTTCCAGCGCAACTACAACGCGGCCCGTTCAGGGTGCATCCACGTAAGAAAAGTCATGCTCCCTAGTGACAGTCCGACTGTCATTTCCGACGACGTCCACCGTGTCTCCCACAGCATAACGGGTGCGAAGAGAATGAATTGCGCGTGAATTAGTTTACAGTGATTGTAGACCTGCGCTACATTTACCACACTCCCCTCTCTCTTCCCTTGTTTACGTGAGCCCGGTGTCAGGTCAGACTCAGGAAAACCGGAGGAGGAAGCAGACGCGGGTGACTGGTGCGGCGTGAGCACGCATCAGGTGTGCCGTCACGCCCCCTCCCCCGTGTGTGAGTCTTCTTATGAGTGCACATCCCGAGTAACGCCGGTCGTGCTCTTATTTGATTCCCGTGCTGGCCTGTTATGTATGCACTGATCTGTAGTAGAATGTTGTAGACGCCTGGGATGGTTACGGGACCCTACTCGGAGGATGCACGACTCAGCTCTCATGGGGCTGACGGCCAGGAAATCGGCCCCAAAACTGCTGGCAAGCATGTAGTGCGCAAAACAATCGTGGTGTTGAACGGCAAACCTACTCCTCTACGCCTCGACAGAGTGACTGCACACATTGGACACCCGGAATTTCTGTTCTCTTGTAAATAACGCAATGGTAAACGAGCAAGAAAGGAGACAGCGCCAGGTAGCCTACAGAGTCGCTAGCTACGACTTGGACATTGCCGCATCCGATGAAACCCCAGTTCTTAGAATTGGGCTCATTCGCATCTTCTGATGCAACCGACATAAGGCAGGTTGCCGTGATGAAGTTGGCTCCTTTCCGCCTCATCTAAGCGAAGTGCCTACTT